TACCTGTGATGTTAAACATCAGTGCTTAACAGTTGCTGAAATGCATGCTGAGGTTTCTAGGAACTTCCGTATAGCTTCCTTCACATTATTCAGTAGCTAGATAGTCTTTTTATAAATGCCACTGTTGCTTTCATAAATTATTATGGATGGTAATAGTAGTGGCTTCCATTTATCGATTGCTGACTATGTGACAGCAAAGAGCTCTCCTTGCATTAATGTATTTAATCCTCATGGACACTCTGTGAGGTTATTATCCTCATCTCTATTTTAGAGGTGAAGAAATTAAGGTTTAGAGAGATTCTGTGTTACCTAATAAGAATCTGAATGCTGGTCTGAGTCCAAAGTCTGCATTTGTAATGGCAAAGCTATGCTGCCTTTGTTTCCTAAGTGCTGCACAGCCTCATTCATTCATGCAACCTGCATGCTGCGTGTAGTTGAGGGCCTACTATGTGCTGGGCAGTGTACTAAGTGCTTGGGTTATATCCTGCAAACTCCTTACCTTCAGTGCTTACTTTCTATTATTTGTGTCTGATTCCCTCTGATGATGGTGTTCCTATAAGGCAGTTTACTTGAGTTCTAGGGACATAAGTAAAATTTTATACAAGATAACTTCTGGGCTTATGAAAGAAATATATTCCATAAGTCTTGGAAGTTGAGCATACCCCCCACTTTATTTATCAAGCCATAATATTTTAACATTGGCTTTTAGCCCCTCCAGATTCCTCAAATGGGAGATGGTCTTACTGATTCCTTTCAGGAATATTAAGAGGTTTATTGCTGCTAACGAGGAAGCTACTCTTTGATATCTTGGCTTCATTGACTTTCCTTAAAGGTTTTGTAGGTGAGTGGAGCAGCATAAAAAACCTCTATCTTTTCTTAGAACAGACCAAAACTATAGCAGACAAGCCAAATAAAAGAAATTTAATTACTTCACAGAATAAATAAAAGGATTCTGGTATAATTGAAAAATAAATAATGTAGAAAGGAAGTCCAACCTGAGAAACAAAATATATTTTTCTGGGATATCCAGAATATTGAATCCTTCCCTTAGAATTAATTCTCATAATTTTAAAGAAGATAGCATTATCAAGTGTTGAATGTCACTTTTTATCCATGTAGAAATTGGAAATCGTTTGTCCTTGGGTAGAGACTAATCTATTATATTCTTCACCTAGGAAATTGCCAACAAATACTATGAAGCAGGTGGTGTTGTAGTGATGTAGTTACTTTATTTTTACATTGAAAATACAATTGAACCTCTTTGGTTCTATAAGGAGCAAATGGCTGATAATGCCTCTCATTATATAAAGAGGGAGATCCATGTTATTTGTCCAAGAGGGAGGATCATTGGCAAACCAGCTGGCTGTTCATTTTAGACTTTGACATTGCTTCTCCTTGGGACCCTAATGCTGGCTTCTCTGATAACCAGTGCAAACTCCATGAATAACTTTCATTTCTCTAGAAGGAGGTGTGGATTTGCAAGGCTACCAGCTGGATATGCAAATACTACCTGATGGCCCAAAGAGTGATGTGGACTTTTCAGAGATTCTTAATGCAATACAAGAAAGTAAGTTTCACTCAAATTTTAAATTCATCATGAAAGGAGAAACTATAATAATATTTGGGAGGGGTAATACAACTAGAAATCTTAGATGCCAAGCTTAAAAAAATAGGAAGATATCTTTAAAAGAAATACTTGTGCACAATAATTTTGAGACAAGAACAGTTGGCTAATGAAATGGGGCTTTAGTTTGTGAAATTAAGCCACATGATTTTGAGGTCTTCGAAGAAGCCTGGTAGAAAAAATTGTAGTGGGATTCTAAATTCTTTATGTTTTATATGCTTTAGTATTTAGTCAATCTCTAGGTGTTACATTT